CATTATCAGTATGGTAAATCACAGAATCTGGATCAGTAAAAAATGTTTTTTTAAAGAAGAAATATAATGGCTTGCTCTTTCAAGACTGTTTTCTCTTGAACATGTATTTCTGCTTTTTTTTCCACTCTGGAGAGGCCCATGTTCTCTCCCTTTATATCTTTCTATGTAAATTTCATTCAATAAAAGTATTATGATTCACTTTAAAAATTGTAAAATTAGGGGCTTGGAGCAATAGCACAGTGGGTAGGGCGTTTGCCTTGCATGCGGCCAACCCGGGTTCGATTCCCAGCATCCCATATGGTCCCCTAAGCACTGCCAGGAGTAATTCCTGAGCGCAGAGCCAGGAGCAACCCCTGTGCATTGCTGGGTGTGACCCCCCCAAAAAAATTGTAAAATTAAAATAAAAATTATTTTAGGACTGGAGTGATAGTATAATGCGTAGGGCACTTGCCTTTCATGCAGCCAACCAGGGTTCAATCTCTTGCATTCCCATATTATCCCCTGAGCATGGCCAGGAGTAATGCCTGAGTACAGAGCCAGGACTAACCCCTTAAACACTGCTGGGTGTGGCCCCGAAAAAAAAAATTTTAAAGGCCCCCTTCGGGGGCTGGAGTAATAGTAGACCATGTAAGGCGTTTACCTTGCACGTGGTCAATCCAGGTTCGATCCCCAGCATCCCATATGGTCCCCTGAGCACTGCCAGAAATAATTCCTGAGTGCAGAGCCAGGAGTAACCCATGAGCATTGCCGGCTGTGATCTAAAAAAGCAAAAAAATTAAAAAGCCCACCTCCAGTCCCTGCTGCAGGACAGTGAAGAAACCAGGGCAGTGGGAGGCCCAGAACTGACCCTCTGTGTCGCTCCTGGCCGGCCCCAAGTGCACAAGTCACCAAGATCCCAGGGCTGAGCCCTCACTGAGATGTGCAGAGTCCAGCCAGGCCCGCCTGCTGTCCACTGTCCCTGCTTGGCCTCACCCCAGTCATGAGGCCCAGCCTCCTGTCTCCGGGTGCTTTCCGAGAGGGACAACCAAGGCCAGTGCTGCTGGGCCTCTCAAGGTCAGTCGGCTCTCTCCTCTTGCCTGAGCCACCCTTGACTCCCTCACATCTGAGGCACTGCCAGCCCAGCCCACTCCAAGCTCACTCTACTGCTAGGAGCTACTTGTGCTCTGGGGTTACTCCTGGCTGGTCACTCTGGAGTTCATGGACTGCTGGCCTCAAAGTAAGTGCTTCCCGCAAACCAGACATGTGGAGGAGGCGCTGAGCTCTCTCCTGCCCCCCAAATCCTCTTGAATACTGTCCTACTCTGGGGGCGGGGCAGGGGGGGCAGTGGTTGGCAGGAGGGAAACTAGGGTTATTGGTGGTAGGAAATGGCCTCCACCCAGCCTTTCTGCTGTTGCCAGAGCAGCTCTCTGCACACACAAACACACACACACACACACACGGACACACACACACACACACACGGACACAATGGACAATAGGTGGAGGGATGGGTGTTGGATCATTGTATGACTGAACCTGATTATGAACAGCTTTGTACTGTGTGACTCCATTTGAAAAATTAAAATTAAAAAAAAAAAAAACACCGTCCTACTCCAAAGTCATCCTCTCCTTGGCCAGCACTGAAGTTCCCGCATTTCCCACCGCATCGTGCAGCCCAAGAACCCAAAATGGCAACAGGGGTCTCGGTAAGGGCCCTCCCTCAGGCCTGCGGCCTGGCCCGGCCCCCAGCCTTGCTCTTCCTCCCAAGACTCATTTCCAATCATGGGGGGAGGGGGGAGGGGGTGACCCCCTTGGAGCCCATCCAGCATTAGCCCTCACCAGCAACTCTGGGTGGCAGAGGGCACAGTGTGAGTCTCAGGGTCAGGATGCCTCCACCCAGCCTTTCTGCTGTTGCCAGAGCAGCTCTCTGCACACACACACACACACACACACACACACACACACACACACACACACACTCCCTGGCTCCCTCAGCCTAGACTCAGGGAGCTTCACTGCCCTCCCCCGGCCCCCGAAGCAGCTCTCCACCATCATCACCCACTGAACTGTCTTCCTTTGCTCCAGCCCAAATGCTCCCCCATCTATCCATTAGCGCCTCCCCACCCTCTTTCTGTACCTCCTCTGGCCTTACTGGCCAGCTCAGGTGCCTCCCTTGGACTCTGGTGGCTCTAGGAAGTTCCGATCACCCCTGGAGCTGTCAGTAATGGGGGTGGCGGGGGCAGAGGAGACGGTGTTCTGGGGGCCTCGCTCACTGTGTTAGGAGTCAGGGGTCAGGTCAGCAGCAGCCCATGTTTATGGGGCGAGTCCTTGTGCCTGTGAGATGGGGGGTGGGAAGGGCTCCACCTTCGTGGAAAAGCAGAGCATCAGCCTCCAGTCGGCTGCTCTACCTGGAGGGGTGGCTGGGGGCACCAGGGACTCACAGGAGAGGGCCCCCCATGTGACAGCCGATCCCCATAGGAGCTTAGAGTCCTCTCCTCACCCTGTTACCAAGGTAGACAAGAAGCTCAAGGAGGAATTCCAGGGGACCACAAGTGAAAGTCACATCCATGTAGGGTCACGGTACATGATTAGGAGGTCGGCCTGTAGGACATGGGACCTCAAGAAGGAAACAAGTTCCGTGGGAAAAAAAAGATGAAGAAACCTTGGTCAAAAGGATCCAGACACAAGACTCGGGCCCATGACTGTGCACCATGCCCAGAGGCACAGCTGCTCTCCCCAGCCAACACCAGAGGAAATGAGCCTCACAGAGGGAGGGTTGCTGACCCGTGTACACAGCCGGAAAGTGGCTTCAAAGTCAGGATTTGAACTTGACCTGGTGGGCTTCGCACTACCCCACCCCACCCTGCTCTCCTCACCTAAGGGGCCTCTTCATCTCTCCTTGCGTGTTTCTCTCTCCATCCCAAACTGCCTGAGAGACTGGTATAGAATTCACACATTCATTTGCTCATTCATTCAAACAACCATCTCACTTATGGTTATGTCATGGATACACGTAGATCAGGGGCTTTACTCCGTTCTGGGCCCTCTACCCCAATCCTCTTGGAACTGAGTCATGAGAATTTGAGCCCTAAACAGCTGCCTGCCCACAGGAGGGGAAGCATAAGTGGCTTAGAGGTCACTTCTAATGGCACTTGGGGCATCAAGAGGTGCTAGGGATCAAGAGGTGCTTAACAGACTTCTGCCTGTTAAGCATGTGCTCCAGTGCACTGAGCTTGCTCTAGCTCTGGCCCTTCTTTAATAAGCCCTGGGATCGGAAAGATCTGGAAAATTCCTCTTCTTCATCTCATGGGTAGCTTCCAGTTATTGGATCAGGCACTAAGCCAGTTGCATTATATATGCTATTTCATTGATATTGCATGAAAATATCGTTCTAGAAGTTTCTATTTTTGCCCAGTCCTACAGATTTAGAAACTGAGGCTCAAAGAGGTTAAGTGATTTACCGAAGTCACAAAGCCAGTGTGTGGCAAAGCTGGACAAATACTCAGAACAGGCCGTCTTCAGACCTCCCAAAGCAAAAATGGGGAGAAGTACTGATAAGAGAGCAAAGCAAAAAAAAAAAAAAAAGAAAATCAATCCTGCCTGTACTTGAGGGAATTTTCCCACTGTCACTGGCGATGAGTCATTGAAAGCATTGGAAATTCTGTCCCCTCCATCTTCCTGGGGGAGCGAAGATCCCCAGAGGTCTTCCAAAGCTTCTGCAAAGCCACTTCCCACCCCCAATCCCCCACCATCTTCCATCCTAGGCACAAATACTCCACCGTACGCTGGAATTTCTGCTCCCAAAGGAAGACGCTGTGTCAGGTTATCTGGGGCAGACAAAATAGATAGTGGAGCCGGGGAAAGGGGTCCTACTGTGACCCCTCTGTGATGGGTGGCAGTAATGGACTGTGGCCACATCTCACAACTCCTACCTCTAAGTCTACTTGCTGCCCTGTTCGAGGGCACAGAGCACCCATCTCCAAAGAAAAGCTACCACTGGCTTCTCTGTGGAGGTTTTCTCTCACCCCTTTCCCCAAGCATGAGCGGATGGAGCTAGGTCAGACTGTTTCCCAGCCGGCTGGGAATATTTCAGACCCTCTGAAAAAGTCCTGCTCTGCACACAGAGAAGGGAAAATTGTGTCCTGAGGTAGAGCACAAAACCCAGCCTTTCATTAAGGACAAAAATAAAATAGGGGGGGAAAGACGATTAGAGGTGAGGAGAAAATGGGAGGTGGCGCTTTTGATGAAGAGAATCCAGGTCTCAGAATCACATTGAGAGCTCTGGAATGGAAGATGCTGGCCTCAAGGAAAGGAAGCAGGGAGTTAATCAGCCGACCCTCGGGCTGTCCACTGGCAAACACACACATAGGGCCACCAAGACATGTGTCCAGGGACACCCTGGATGTTCCCCTCCCCCAGGGACACAGGGTGTTGACAAGAAATGACATGGTCACCATTGCCGAGTTCTCACAGAGAACCAAACATGACCGTGTGGGACAAGCACAGAGAGACACAGGGACCCCAACGGCGGATCACCAAATGTGACTTGGTTAGTGCCTACAGCACATGGTACAGACACGCACCCCCCTGTCTCCCCCCACCTGCACACACAGCCCCCACACAGCTGTTTCCCCAGAGCCCAAGGCACTTCCGGCATCTCAGCTCACCCCTGCTAGGTTTTGGAGGTCCAAACACACATTTGTGCTGTCACCAACACAGAATCACCCACTCACAAACTGTGACAGACACACAGACTATCCCACATAACCCGATGCAGACGGGGGTGCCAGCGGATCATCAAACGCCAGACACCCGGGGATGCCAACACCATCCAATGTTATTTACACACACAAACACACGCGCGCGCTCGCGCACGCACACGCACGCACACGGCAGTGCTGGACTCCAGCGTTCCCTGCAGGAAGCGAGCTGGCCCGAGAAGTCCCGGGTCCGAGGGCGATTCGGATTCCAGCCCCGCGGTAGCCTCGGGCACCCCCGGTCCAGCCCCGCCGCGCACTCACCGGACGATGCCGAACATGACCAGCACGTTGCCCAGCAGCCCCACGGCACACACCGCCGAGTAGAGCGCGGTGATGGCGATGGCCAGGGCGAGGGACGAGGCGCTCCGTGCGCCCTGCGGCCCCGACGCATTGGAGCCGGCGCTGGGGAAGGCGCTGGGGAAGGCGTCCGACGCGTTGGCGAGGAGCGCGGGCTGCAGCGCGGCGTCGGTGGAGGGAAGCGGGTCCATGGCGGCCGCGCGCCGGGCACCGCGACCCTCCCCGCCGTGCGCCCTGGGCGCGGAGAGCCGGTGCGAGAGCGCGGGCAGGGCAGGGGCCGCCGGCTCGACGCCGCCCGCTGCAGCGCCGGGGCTGCCCGGCTCCCTTTGCGCCTCGGCCGCCCTCCCCGGGCCGGTGCCCTCGGAGCCCGCCCGCCCTGCTCGCCCCGAGCGCTCTGAGCCCCGAGCCGCTGCGGGCTGCTCGGACGCGCCCGCCGCGCGCACCACGTGGCCCGGAGGCGGCCGCCAGTCTGCGCCCGCGGCTGGGGGCGGGCGCTGCACCACCCCGGAGCAGGGCCGAGGCTTCCCACCCCTTCCGAAGGGGTGCTCTTGGGGCTGATCACCGCCCCGGAGATCACCTCCTTCCCCTCCTGCCGCTTTGGAGACCCGAGGCACTGGATGGGAATCCTGCCCTTCGTCCGTGCCTGCGCTAACGGGCAAAGTCACCTTGAGCAAGTCACTTAAGCGCTCTCCACTTCATTCCCCACCCCTGTGAAATGAAGATCAAGCATCTCCTCCGAGGGTTTGTGGGGGGGGGGGGGGGGGTTTAAATAAAAGGCGGCGAGAACTTAGCTTAAGGCGTAAGTGCTCCGTAATTGGTCGGTGGGATCCTTGGTTTCCTTGCACCGCATGCATTCGCTGGACCGACGTTTGCCGGCGAATGCAAGCGCAAGGTACTATGAGGGATCTGCTTGTGCACAAGGGCTTGCGGCGCAGCGCGGGAGGCGAGTTCCCGGTAAGCACCCGCCAGAGAAACAGTAAGGGTTGGCTTTTGGTGGTGGTGGCGGTGGTGTTTGGAGTTGTGTGTTTTGGTTTGCTTTGGTTTTTGCCACACCTTTCCATGCTCAGGGATCACCCCTGGCTCAGCACTCAGGAATTACTGCGGGTGGCGCCCGGGGGACCATGGGACGCCGGAGCATGAACCCGGGTGGGCCGCGTGTAAGGCAAAAGCCCTAGCTGCTGCACTTTTACCTTGCTTAATCGGCCGGCACCACATGTGGGCTCCCGGGCACCGCCAGGGGTCACTCCTGAGCACCTCAGAGTGTGGCATAATCGCCCAACTCCCCAAGGTGCCGGGATAGATAGCTAGGATGAAGACAGGATTCCCCAACTAGGAAGAAAGGGAAGCTTTCTTGGGATCTTTCATCCAGTAAAGGACTGGGGTCCCAATGAGTGCTTGCGAAATGCTCTTCAGATGAATGAAATTTCTCAGGAGTTAAAAAATGGGCCAGTGGGCGTTCTGGAGTTCTAGGCTCTGACAATGCTCTGGACCACGTCAGTGACTGGTCACTCCGTGGTTTACCACCCTACTGTATACAAGGCTTTCCTGCTCCCCTGGGCCAGGCTCTGGGCAGGACAGATTCCCTCTGGAAATGATATTCCAAGGGAGATATTAAGTTTGGGAAGGAACTCAACATGTAAACCTGGAAAAAACATTCCAGATAACCACACACCATCAAAGGACTCCTAAGAGGTGAAGGAGAAGAGAAAGTCAGGGAGCAGCAAGTAAGGAAAGACCCCATGGCCAGGAAACATCCTGAGAACCTCTCCAGCTACTATAGGAGCAGGTGGAAAGGGGGTGAGGGGCTTTCCCATACCCCCCATCTAAACTGATCAGCCCACCACCAGCTTCCTTCTTGGCACATTTGTCCTTTGCAGAATGTTCTGTCTAATAACCATTACTCTCATTTCATGTATGAATCAGCACTTTGGAGTAGATTCTGTCTGTCCCCATTTTATAGATGAGAAGACTAGTACTAAGCAGATAATCGAATCACGTGGTAATTCTTTCTCCCTGAGTCTGCTTCCTTGGGATCTTTCCTCCAGTAGAGGACTAGGGTCCCAATGAGTGCTTGGGAAATGCTCTTCAGATGAACAAAACTTCTCAGGAGGAAAAATATGGGCCAGTCCGTGTTCTGAAGTTCTAGGCTCTGATGATGCTCTGGACCACATCAGTGCCTGGTCACTCCGTGGTTTACCATCCTACTGTGTACAAGGCCCTGCTCCTTCCCAGGAAGAACCAAACCGGAGCATTGAATTCAACCTTTTCTCCATTTTCTTTGCCCCAGCTGCACACTCTCCATCTGGGCTTCCCACTCGACCACCCAACGATTCACCAGACAAGTGATTTCCTTCTGCAATCACATGTACTTGATTGCGAATCACAAAACTCTCCCCCACATCCCATCCCAAAGGGCTTGGAAATTGGGTTGTGTGTCTAATAAACTGAACTTTCCCACCATGGGGCATTTGCACACTATTTCATCCTCTTGGAAGGCTCTTCTGAGCGCTACCAAGAGTGATCTCTGAGCATGGAGCCAGGAGTAATCCCTGAGCACAGCTGGGTGTGGCCCAATAAAACAATGACTAAAGAAAATTTTTATTTTATTTTATTTTATTTTTGCTTTTTGGGTCACACCCAGCGATGCTCAGGGGTTACTCCTGACTCATGCACTCAGGAATTACTCCTGGCGGTGCTCGGGGGACCATATGGGATGCTCGGAATCGAACCTGGATCGGCCATGTTGGATGCGTGTAAGGCAAACGCCCTACCCGCTGTGCTATTGCTTCAGTCCCAAGAAAATTATTTTTAATTTTTATTCCAGGATGTTTTTGGAGCCTCCCCTGGGTGTGGAGATGATGGTTAGAAAGTCAAAACTATGGTAGAAGAAAAGACAAAAATAAGATTTTCAGCTTTTCTGAGGCTCTTTCTTTCTGTTCTGGGACCACACCCAGGGGTGCTCAGAGTTCTGAACTTAGGGAATCCTCCTGACAGAGCTCAGGGAACCACATGGAGTATGGGATCAAACCCAGGTCGGCCACATTCAAGGCAAGTGTCTTCCTGCTGTGCTATCGCTCAGCCTCCTCTGTGGCTTAGTTTTCACATCTACAGAGAGATCTTCTGCCAGCTGAGGATGTTTGTTGAGCCGTGAGGACTGAGTAAGCCAGGGGTTCCTTGTTGTTTCTTGGTGTGAGGGTCAAAATTTAGGCCTCGAATATTCTCATTGCCCTTTGCTTTTGAGCCATATCCCCTGTTGAGACTCCTGCATCTTAAAGAGCTCACAGTGAAGAAGCTGTGTTATGTGAATCAAATATGGAAGAGATACAGTGCTTAGAAAACAGACACAGAGCTGGTTCTGGACTGCCCTTTGAAGGAGCTGGCCTCTTGGCTCTTCCCTCCCCCCAGCTGAGCAGACTACAAGCTGCAGCCTGGATAAGAATCCCACCACCACCACCTCTACCCTCCAATCCCAACCCAGCACGCCAGCAGCCTGACCTCACCTTCCCACAGACTCAGCTGTGAGAATGAATTTCTGTCGCTCTTCAGCTGCCCTTACTGTGGCACTGGTATAGCAGTCTGACCCGGTGAGGGCGCAGGCCAGGTATAGAAGCATCTGTCCCCACTGAGGATGATGAAAGAGCATCCAGAAAGCTTCCACAATGTTCCCCAGCAGGATACTTGGAAGAGACCTTGGATGTGAGCATTCTTATTACCGATCTGTAACGGGCATCTCAATTCTGCTGTAAATAGTCCTGCCTCCCACCATTTAGAGAGAGCTTCCAATGGGCCAGGCCCTGGGCCAAATGCTTGCTCTGTGGATGGTCTCATTTAATCTTCCAGCAGCCTTCATAAAAGGTACCCCCCTACCAACCTCCCGTGTCTTGTGTCTTCCCAAGTAGTATTTCATAGAGAGCACAAAATAAAACAAACATTTGCTTTAAAAGTCGGGAGGTGGGGGACGGGCTGGAGTGATAGTACAGCAGGTAGGGCATTTGCCTTGCACACAGCCAACCCAGGTTTGATCCCCAGCATCACATATGGTCCCCAGAGCACCACCAGGAATAATTCCTGAGTGCAAAGCCAGGAGTAACCCCTGTGCATCACCAGGTGTGACCCAAAAAGCAGAAAAAAAATAAAAGTTAGAAGCAGGTAGGAGGTGTGATGATGAAGTGATTGTACAGTCAGCTCAGCGCTTGCTTTGGCCAACTTGAATTTCATCTCCAGCACGCCATATGGTCCATTAAGTCTCATCAGGAGTGATCCCTGAGCACAGAGCAAGAAGTAAGCAAGCACTGAGTACTGTTGGGTGTGGGCCAAAGTTTTAAAAAAAAAAAGGCAGAACGAGAGCCGGAGAGATGATAAAGAGGGTGAAGTGCTTGCCTTGTACACAGTTGACCCAGATTAGATTCCCAGCACCACACAGGTCCCAAGAGAAAGAGGGAGAGAGAAAGGAGAGAGAAATGGGGGAGAAGGAACGAGGGAGGGGGGAGGGAGGGAGGAAGGGAGGGAAGGAGGGAAGGAAGGAAGGAAGAAAGGAAGGAAGGAAGGAAGGAAGGAAGGAAGGAAGGAAGGAAGGAAGGAGGGAGGGAAGGTAAGTAGAAGGGGTCAGAGAGATAGTACAGTGAGTATGGAGTATGGTGTCTATCTTGCATCCAGCCAACCCTGGTTCAATCTCTGCCACCCCATATGACCTCCTGAGCCATCAGGAGTGGTCCCCAAAATAAAATAAAATGAAAGGAAAGGTAGAGAAAAAGGAGGCAAGGCCTGTTAGGAAAGCAACAAAGACTCTCACAAGGGCAAGGAGTGTGGTACAAAGGGGAAACACCTCCACTGACTTGGCTTAGTGTCTTTTTCTGGTTTTAGACTTTCTTCCTTTCCTGTTCCTTCCTATTCTCCTCCCCAAATGGGAGAAAACCCCTGGGGCCTGAGGTTCTGACACATCTGGCCACGGTCAGCATGGGAAGTATAAAGCTGTCATGCACCAGGTGTGATTCTGTGACCTGATGCACTGGAACAGCCACACGATGCTCTAGAGTGTGCTCAGTGCTCACCTAGGACCAGCTTGCAAGAGGCTTTGCTGAGTGCTGGGGGACATAAAACTGATTGGAATTCCTCGCCGTAAACGTGGCTTTGGCGTTGCTCTCCCAGACATTTGATTTTTTTTTCTTTTTGGGTCACACCCGGCGTTGTCCAGGGGTATTCCAGGGTCTGCATTCAGGAGTTACTGCTGGCAGTGCTCAGAGGACCATATGGGATGCTGGGAATCAAACTCAGGTCAGTCACGTGCAAGGCAAACGCCCTACACGCTGTGCTATCTCTCCAGCCCTTCCCAGGCATTTGATTTAAACGTTAAGGAAAACTGTTACCTGCTTCACCCTTCCTGT